AGCATAATTATGCCTCATAAGAAGAAGGAAATAAAACTGAGAAATTATGAAAGTATTGACATGATTACATTTATGCAAATCCTCTCCATGTCAGACATTACAATTCACCTAATGGTGATATGTTTATGCTGTCAGGCTATATATAGTTTCACAATCAATTATTTTTTGAATGCAATTTTTTAAACTTCAGCAGAAACTTTTTAAATACCTCCCATAAAGTCTTCTTTCAAGCAGAACTTTTTTGAGTCTGCAAACAATTTAAATCAAAAATTTCATTAACATCCACAATTTATATCTTGACTTAATTTTTGCAAAGCATTTTTGATGGTCTTCCATTGACAAATTTTTTGTTCATTTGTGACGCTGTGCTTGATTTTCGATTTTTGTTTAATTTTTAGGCTCCTTTTTTTAGAAATTCACTTTTTATTCTAAACGCTCACAATTTTGAAGACTAAACCGCAACAATGATTCTATATCCTGAAAGGACAATGTTTTTATAATAAATTCGCAGTTCTTTAGTTTTCTCTTCTTTTAAATTTCTGTATAGTCCAGCATGAAAATTAAATACAGCTCAGTTAGCAGATATAATTCATATCATTATTTTTTGTTTTTTTTGTTCGGTTATTACCTGAGCGTGTTGGAGTCGACACCGACGATGTCACCGTGAGGATACGTCGACCGCTGCTGCCAATATTCGCCATTGCCAAAAGCCCTCCCGGATCTGCCAAACACGTCATTCCACGCATCTGCGTCCTCATCGTCATGATCGTCGTCTTCGAATTCGTCATCCTCCTCTTTACTGTCGTCGTATTTCGCCCAGGGTCGCCCCGTTTCTCTCTCATCGTCTGTCGCCTCATCTGATGATGGACTCCGCCCCACATTCCTTTCGCGGTAATATACAACACCCGCCCCAGAAGGAAGAGGACTATTAGGGGCATTGGGGCTCATTTCGGGAGACGGTTGAGCAGCAGGGACATCAGTGAGTCCGGGAATAAGGCGGTGGTGCTGGTCGTCGACGAAGGCGGCCCTGCTGTAACCGCGGCGGCTCAAGTCCGGCGCCGGAACTATGGTGAGCGCCTCGCGATTCTCCTGCCATTCCATAGGCTCCTCTTGTTGAACTTTGCGTGAGTGGCGTTCATCATCGACAGCAACTGCTGCCATGATGACTGACGCCTCGTCGGCAGATGAGAATGACGACGATGGCGGCGGCGGCGGCGACAGCGGAGCCTCAGCCGCCGCTTCTGTCGAGGTTTTGCCGCCGCCAGCAGCAGCAGCAAAATGACTTCTAGCAGTTTTTGCTCTTTTGTTGTTGGTCGTCCTCTTTGTTTTCGACACGTGATGACGAGGATTGGGAGGAGAATAAGATGAGTAAGAAGAAGAAGAGGAAATTAGCTGTAGGGCGCGGGCGGCTCGCAGCAACTGATCGGCTCCACCGCCGCCACTGCCGCCACGACCGCCTTGTTGCTCCGGGATCACGAGTGACCGCCGCAGCGGCCTGATGCGATCCCC